ATTATAGTAGTTATTATAAATTATAGATTAAGATTTTATCCGATACTATATGTAAGTTATATATGTATGTAGAGATTGATTTGATTAGATTTGTAAAATCACCTTTTTTGATATACTTGTACTTAATTATATCATTTTATAATTGAGATTGAGGGTATAATATTATTAAAAGATTTTTTTTAAAAGTTCCTTTATATAAAGCAATAGTTTAAATGGTAATGTTTTGCTGAGATTTTGGTTTCACAAAAAAAAATAATTACGAGATGACCTTTTTTATATTTTAGGCTACTGGTACGTTACGTTATATATTTTAATATAACAGTTCCTTACTGTTCAAGCGCTTTACTCAAACTGAATTTAATGACTTAATTACAAAAATATTATACAACCAGTGTTACGTAGCTTATTCGGAACAAAAATCGTAAAACTACAGGACTCTTAGACAACAGAGTACAAACAATTACAGAACACTACAGAGTACATGCAAATTGTAAAATGAAGTGAAAAAATAAAAATTTGTTATTATTGCTGTATATGTAATGTAGATTATGTAAAATCAAAAATTGCTTTTACTTTACTTATTATAATATTTCGAAAAATTGAAATTCACCTCAAGGAAAAGAAATCCACCTCAAAAAATTAAAATTCACCTCAAAACATTTAAATTCATCTCAATTAATTGAAATCTACCAAAAAAAAAAAAATTTATATATAGAAATTGAAATCCACCTCAATTAATTGAAATCCACCTCACCACTGTAAATCAACATTCACCCTTATAAAATCTTTAAAACATTAAATTACTATTTAGTTAGTTTATAAATTGATTATATTAATTTTGATGGCATATGTTAATAAAAATGTTGACAATTTGTATAAATATTAACAAAGGTTTCAAATAAAGTGCAAATTTAAAGTGTGTGTGTGGATCGCAACTTTGGCCAGTAAGTCAATAGATCAATCGATCCTCATTAATACAAAACAATCTATGTATTGTGTGAACAAAAAATAAATGTGTAAACAAATCACACCTATAAATATGTGACTTCTTAATTTTGGGTTTATAAGACGGTTGGTTAACTTAAAAATAATTCAAAATTATTTTCATCCTTTCTTTATATGTATGTATACATATACACATAGTTCTTGGCGAATATTTGGTTTGCCAGTTTTAAATAAAGTTTTCATTTTTGGTTTTTTGTTTTTAATAAAAAATAACTTGTGTATTATATGGTATCTAAATACTTAAGTATATTATTTAATAAAATTTTGTAAAGTTTTACATTTTTACTATACATTATTTTTCTCTTTTTTGGGGCTACAAATCCCTTTGAATGTAAATTAAAAAAAAAAAAAAACTTTTCTTTTTGGTTGCTTTTAACATCAATGATTACTTACCATGACCTTTTTTCTTGTATCCTTTTTGAAACGAAAAAAAACAGGAATTAGATTCTAAAAAAAAAACAACTTTAGAGGTTGCTTTATTTGGAAAAAGGGGGAAAAAACCAAAATTCTTTTATAAGATTTCACCCAATTTCCAATAAAATAATTGAATTATTTAAAGTATTAATTTTTAAGAAAAAAAAAATTAAAATATTTATTTCAAAATTTAAAAGTTTTCTTTTTTTTAATTTTTCAATTACAAAATTTCGAACAGTATTTAGAAATACTTTGGAAAAATAAAATAAAATTAAAAAACAATAAATTAAATTATCATTAACCTACAAATTAGTATACAAATCCTAAGGTACTCTTAAAATATACGACAAAATCTAAGATTAAATTGTAGATAAAATCTAATAACTATCTATATATAGACTGTCTGCTATAGTAGTGCCCAGACTTCATCTACAATTTAATCTTAGTACATTAATTCGAAAATATAATAATGCCCAGACTATTATAACAAAAGTCATCTATAGGCTGCTCCAAACTAACAAAAAATTGATTGTCATGATTTTATTTTAAAAAAATGTTGCCAAACATCTGATGGGAATTAAATATTTCCTATTATTTTCCGACAGACAAAGACTGATGTCAAACCGTGTTTACATAATATACGACCACTGAAATATTATTTTCACTCACTGTTTTTTATTTCATCTGGTATATTATTATTGCACTGTACTTTAAACTATTAGATGCCATCTGTGTCTAGTGTTGTAGCTATGCACGGCTGCCTTTGTTGTAATTATTATCGTCGATTTCATTTTTTTGTTCATAATCTTGAACACATATTATTTGCATTTTTCGATATTCATTATTATTATATAGTCCGCATATTATTAACATCGACTTCATTACAATTTAATCGATTCAATAATAACTATTTAAAATATAAATAGTTTTTACTATTTTCTAATCATATACGATAAATGAAAAAAAAGGTTTAATCTCATTTTCATTTAAAATGTCCTTAAGGAATTTATTATATATTTATCAATAATGATTATTTTACAATTTATTATTTTAATATTTATTAAAAAATTTAATATTTAATAAATTATAATTTCTATACAAGATACTACTATAATGTTGTGTCAATAATCTCGATATTTATTTGATTTCTAAACCTTTTGATGGGATTAATTTAATATATAACTATTTTAGTATAAGTATATAAAGAAAAAAAATATTGTATTTTATATAATATATACATATATTATATTAAACCATCACATTTATTATAAGTATTATTGGTTCTAATTTTTCTATATTTTTAATCGAAAAATGGTCCGAAATGCCATTTAAATATCTAACTTTAATATCACTTTTTCATATAATCTTTATAATTAATATTTGAATAAATAATTCTACTAACAATCTTACATTACAATATTTAAGAAAATGTTGTATATTTCTTTAAAGTACATTAATACGAAGAGAGGGGAACAGCAATTATATAAGATATTATAAAAATCAAAAGGAAATTTTTCTTTTAAAAATAACTTTCTCACATAATTTGCAAATTTTAAACTTCACACAATTTTATGAATAATATCAAGTGCAATTATTGTTAAAATGTTAATTGAAAAAATTAAATTATAAAGCAGTTTCCTTTAGCAATTCATGTTTTTAATTAAATTTAAAATGGGTGTATATTTATAGCGTCTGTTTTATGAGTAGCTAAAAGTATACTTTTTCAACTTCTCTTCTTCATTAAAGTGTTAAGGCATTTGATATAATCATAACTTCTAATTTTTATAGTATACTGTGAGTAAAAAACGAAGATTATTAAAATAAGTTGGCCACTTTGAAATAAATTATTGTGAATTATTTCATATTAATGTAAATCGATGGATTGTAAAAAAATAGTTCAACGTCAGAGACTGTAATGTTGCAAGAAGTCATAGTATATAATGTCACAACACCTTTTGTTTTTGATATGAAGTATTATTAAAACGATAAAATTCTACTTAGGCTATAACCGGGTTATTTGGAAGCATATATCTTAGCACAATTGCTTTCTAAAATATCCAAATCTTGTCATATTTCATACATCATATTTCATACAGCTCATGTATTTTCAATTTTTCCTTGCCCGAATTTAACAAGTTCCTTAGTTGATATTTACTATCAGATGTCCGGATATTATGCTTTTTAAGTGATTATTTATCAAATTCGATGAACGATGATCATAAGTCAAAGTTTAATAACATACAATTTTTTCTTTCTAATGAGTTTATTAATAGCTTCAAACGAATAACCATTCTTGACTGCTGTGTCCAGTATGAAGTTTTCTTCTTTTTTTGAGACCTCTTTTTCCTTGAATGTAGTTGGCATTTCATGGATCATAGAATTAAGCCAGTGTCATTTTCTGCTTCATTAAATGGTTTGAATCTTTTGGGATGCATCTCTCGGTATTGTTATTTCTTTTCGTAATTCAATAATAGACGAAACTAATTTTATAATTATTATAATATAAAAAATATTATAATTAGCTCATGAAATTTAAATGAAAAATTTTAATTTATTAAATTTCAAAATTTTTTAATAAATTTAACAAATTTGTATCGTGTGTAAAACCATCCCAATATTTATTATAATCATTAGATATGACAATTGAAACGATTTGAAGTGAATTGTTTGTTCTATATAAAATTATAAAAAATTTAGTGACACTTTATGATTAATTATACCAATATTTTGATGGAAATTATATTTTATTGAATGTCATCTAATTACATTTTTTAGTAATTAACGTCAAAATAATATAGAAGTATTCAAATGTTGCAAATGTGCCTAAAAAATTTTTAATATATTTGATTTACGTTGATTTCACTTAGATTAAATAAATATTACAGTTTAATTATAAAATCACACCTATTTATATGGTTTTGTTCTTTTGTCTTGCCTATGTTTCGAAAAACTGATTTTTAACCAATTTAGTACTATTGGCGATCACTACGCCATAATTGTGTTTATGATACAACCATGATGATTTAACGTAAAACAGAATTAATTACACATATTCGGTAGTAGGCGAATATCTTATCTTGACAACCATAAATCGGTTATGTCCTTTGGAAGAATATTACAGATAAGTCAATATCTGTAAAAATTTTATAATATTATAAAATTTTATTAATCCAAAAGAAAAAAATTTTCGTACCTCAACTCCAACAATTCAAAAGTTTATGGAGCAATTACTCCGTGCCTTTTCGAACAATATTTCTAAAGTCTTCCTTTTAAAGTATAATATAATGACATATTAATTACTTTTTAATTTGTTATTTGTTAATAAATACTTTTTTATTTGTTACATAGATACGTTATGTATAATATTGTGACATTAATTTCTTTCGCACAATTTAAATTCAATGTATTTATAGATAAATAATTACAATAATTAAAATAAATATATTTTGAAAATAGACTGAAATTTATTATTACCTTCAAATTCTGACATTATTTACATTTTTTATTAATATAAATAATTACAAAAAAAAACTTTATGGAAAATAGGAGAAAAAAATGATTTTGGATAAATTTGGTCTAAAAAAAATGTCAATTAATAAAATTAAATGTGTTTTTTTTTACCCTATATAACTGTTAAATTTGCAAAAAAAATTCTTAAATCTACTCGTATTTAATTAAAAAAAAATAAAAAAATAATAATTATTTATAAAATGTTTTAATATTAAATATAGTTAATATAAAAATTTAATTAAAATATTAAAAAAAAAAGAGGAAAATTTTAAATTGTGGCGGAAACTGAGCCATGGCAATCATACAGTGGTGGAAATCTATCTATATCAACCAAAAATATTTCTATATCTTCTTTAAATACTACCACCACCACCACTGTAATAGCCATTTCTACAAAAATGTCATCCTCCGAACCACAACAGATAAATACAAATTTAATACCATCAACATTAACAGCTACAACTGCAGTAAAAACAAAAACAGCATCATTATCCACAACACAAAAAACAACAACAGCAGCAGCAATAAAAATTGCTACCCCAATAATACCAACGATAGCCACAACTATTCCAACAAAATTATTAGATGATATAAATTTAAACAGCGTTGTTATATCATCAAGCGAGGAATTTATTGTTGTACCAGGTAAGAGAATTTATTATATACCACAAATTAATGTTATCGCAACAACAGGCTTATTTGTGTATACGATATGATGGTAAAAAATGATTGACAAAAAAATTTTTTTAATGTTTTATTTTACAAAATGAGTACAAAACACATAGAACATAAAATATAATATCGTATTATGTCAAAATGTTGTAGAATGTAGTGGAAACCCCAATTTCCTGCACATTTTCACTGTAATAACACAAAAACCATTTATAGGTTTCTGAAAACAGGAATACCATTTGAACAGCATAAATGAAACTGTGGAAATTATTATTCAAGCTATTCAATTTATTGTTTTTTTTTGAAGAAAAAAATTTGCATATTTATGCATTTCTTTTTAATCGAAGCTATTTAAGTAAATATTGTTAAGTAATAAACATAATAAAAATATTTACATGAAGTTTAAAAAGTTCCAATAGAATATTATTATACGTAGGACAATGTTTATTTTTCATGAATGAAAAAGTTTGCAGCGCAAAAAGTTTCCTAAATTATGTGTTATCAAAATGATCAGTTAATAATTGATTGTGATAATTATAACGTATAATTGAATGCAATACCAAATATTTTAAAAAACGAAAGCAAAACTTTTAAAATATCAAATAATATAGAAAAAGAAGAAATAAAATAAGAAATATTTCCTCAGGCTTATTTCTAATCTTCTGTATAACACTTAGAAAATTTGAATTACTTATAATATTTATACAAATACACATACATATAGTATATTTTGAACAGTGTTTATGAATTCGTATTTTGAAATACTCTCTCACTTTTTAATAGAAAATTATAAGAAAAAATGAAATTTACTTTTGCATTATTAATAATGTAGAATCAAATTAGAATAAAAGATAATATTCCAAAGATTTTTAGAAAGGACATTAAATAAAATAGCATAAACGAAAAGTTTTCATTTTTGAACAATAGAAAAATGATTTTTAAAGAAAAATGAAGAAAAAAACAATTTCTTTTACTAAAAAGCATTTTAATCAAGAAATCTATTATGTATTATACAGCAGTCTATTATTTTATACTTTATAATTTTAATATATTATAACGTGTTATATAAATGTTTCTATTAAATCTTTTGTAAACCTAAATCAACAATATTATTTCAATTATTTCGTATAATTGTTAGTGTTTGTCTTTAATTATCGTCAATTGTACTTTTGTTATACATATTTAAGTGTCTATATAACAATTTTCAAAATTAATATTCCTGTACTAATAGGAATTTCGTATATGACTTCTTATGACATTCCTTATTAAGGATGTTTTCGTGGGATACCGTATTGTTAGCAATACGCTCTGCTCTAATTGCTATAAATACAACCATTTCCAGATATGTGATAGATGAGATAAATTTTACTAAAAGATATTGTTGATACATTCATAATTAATCCGATTCAATGAAATATTAAAATTACAGTCAAAATTTGACAATCAAATTTACAGTCAAAATTCTTAACTAAAATTATAATGAACTGAAGAGATCAATTTAATTTACGATAATAGATTATTGTGAATTACAATATTACTAATATTGTAATTGATTCATCGAAATTACTAATTGAATCGAAATTCATTCCAATAATTGTATATACCAATTTTGAAATACTTTCTTAGTAATTGTCATTGCACTCAGAACGTTAATTGTGTTTTAATATTATTAAATTTTATTTAACTTTTTCAAATTTTATTAAAACAAAATTTCATTAAAAAACATTCTTTTCAAATATTTTAATTAATTTCATTAAAAACAATGTGAAAATGATTGAGAATCACAAAATTTAATAAAAAAAATTCAATATAATTTTTCCAAACAAATTTTTAAATGCTGAATAAAAGTTCATAAATTTATTGTGTTTTTTTTTTATTTTTAGGACCAGATGATATTCTTATTTATAATTCATCAGATGGACTGTATCAGCAATCAGTTACATTAACGGCTCGAATGTGGCCACCAGTAGAACAAGGCCCCCCTACAACATTATTTTGGGGCTTACCACCAATTATCTGGGGAATAATTATTGGTTTTTTAATAATAGTTTTAGTAATATTAGCTGGAGTATTTATTTGCTTCTGGTTATTGCCACGAAAACATAAATTTTTAAGCCCAACAAGATTTTGTGTAACAAGTCCAGGTTTGTTTAATTATTTATTTTTAAATGAATATTATTATTTATTAAGTGAACTTTTAATCTTAAAAAAATTCTCTTTTTCTGTTAATTTTTTTTATGCACAGCGAGCGGAACAGATACAAGTTAGTAATAAGGAAATTATATATAACTTTCAAAATAATTAAATTTTTATAATATTTTTTTTTTCTAATTGTATTCTAATTTTTTTAATACTAAATGTAAAAATGCAGTGGCACATCGTTCTTCAATTGTTTCAAAACCATGGACAGATGCAAATGGCCGTATGATAATACCAATTGGATTAGTACCACCACAATATAGTGCACCACCGCCTCCACCACCACAAGTTCGACTACATTCAAACAATAATCAAGCACAGCAACAACAACAATACCAATCACAAATTCAACAACAGCATATTCATCAACAACAAACTCATCAATCAATTTATCAACAGCAGCATCATCAACAATCACAGCAACATCATCAACAGTATCAACAGCAACAACAACAAAAAATGATTCAAAGTCAACAGCAACAGCAACCGCAATATCAATATCAACAACAAACACATTATCAACAACGTATTATAGAATATCCGATGAGCCCCGGAGGGTCAATAAGTCCAGCTGACTCTAAATACAGTATTATACCAGATACACATAAATCAATGTGGGCTCTTAACCCATTATGCGGATCAAATTCAAGTAAATTTTTCATCATTTCAAATTTCTTTTCTATAGTGTGCGACTAACAAATAAATAATGTTTTTTTTTTTTAGTTTTGTATGAAAATGATCCTGCTTATAAGTCACGTTCACTGCCATCTTGGGGTAAGAAGCAACGGCCAGTATCAACTGCTGACGACTTGGATGAATTATATGCTAAAGTAAAATATACAAAATATAGTATTATTTTTCATGTTCGAATACACAATCTCTTTTATTCTGTTTCATGCGAAAAACAAAACAGCTTTGAAGCAATACACATACTTATTATAAAAATCAGTTTATTTTATTTTTAGGTAAACTTCAGTAAAAAACGTCGAAATCGTATGCGTAATGGTGAAGCAGCAATTATAGCATTATGTCGATCCAGATCGCAAAATCTTCAAGGTTTAGCATTGGAGCGTGATGGTGTCGTTATATATGATGAAAGAACTGCTCTTTAAAATCAGCACTTTATATTTTAAAACATCAACATTAAATATTGAAGAAATCATCAAAATATTCATTTAAGTTTATAATATCATCCATCGAATACATATGACTTTTTGAATTATTATGAAAGTAATTCGATTTCATGACTTTATATTTCCAATAGAATGATATTACGAGTATAAAATTATATGAACACAACATTTTAGACATTTATGTACTCGTATTATTAATTATAATATAAAAAATAATTTAAAAATCATATAAAACTAAATGTACTCAATTATATAAAATAAATAAAATGTAACGTAATTATATCGAACATATAGGAATATAAGAATAATAGTAATATATCTTAAAATTCTATTTATAATACCTTATTATAAATTATATAAAGAGCTCAAAAAAATGAAAATAAATTCATATTATTAAATTTCATGAGAAAAATATTAATACTTGATATGTAATTGAAATAAATTAAAAAAAAAATGTTCAGTATTCTAGGGTTTAAATTGAAATCGTCTATAAAATGAAATTTTCTTAAAGTGTACTTTATAAAGAAAAAAAAAAATTAAATTTTATACAAATTTAGACCTATGATTAGATTAAAATTAAATTAATATGTTTATTTTTTCTCAAATGCAAAAGGATAAAGTTTAATGCAAATATATATACTTTTCCGCAATATTTCAAAAATTAATTGAGCATTATTAATTATGCATGTATATACATACCTATGTAATAAACAAACGAACGAATTTTAGAATGATGAAAATATCAAAACATTTTTAAAAATTTAAAAATAAATAACAAATCAATTAAAGTTAGTATAAATGCATAATTAAAATTTTAATAATGAAGGACATTCGTGTAAAATTCAACCAATTTTTCAATTATAATTTTAACATTTTTCAAATAAATTCATGTATTCTTTTAATTCACATAAATGTTCAATAGCATATTTCACATAATTTTCTTCAAACTTAAATTCAAATTGAAATTTTTATATTAAAGAAATTCAAATTCAATTTTGAAATATAATCGATAATGTCATTGTTGACGGTCGACAACAATATTGCTAAATATTTCATTAAATAAAACTGATTTATCGTCTTTAAAATTGCCCATTTTGCACAAAAAACAAAATCAGTGCAGTTGAAATATTTTAATTACAAAATCTTAAAATTATAAGATTTTAAACTTGTTTTTCCAATCATTTTAATGACATCTTAAATATAAAATTTAAAAACCTATATATTCTTAAGAAAAAAAGTATAGGGCTGAAGTTCTCTTGTACTATCAGTCCTTTTTTTAAAGTCTACATCTAATATACATATACATATAATACAAATGCATATTTAAGAAAATAAAAAAAATATGAAGGTGCTGATACTTTGTACATATACATATGTGCTTATATATGTATGTATGTAGAAAAAGAAAAAAATATGTATTATTGATTAACACATACGTATACATAATAATATATTCATACTTTAAAATTTATACCTATACATGAGAAATTAATTTAGATTGGATTTAATTAAAAAAATTAATATTAAAATTAAAAAAAGAGAAAAGAAAATCTTTTACATGTAGTAGGAAGTTAAAAATTTTTAGATTTAATTGTTTATATATATAGTATTATAATATATGTATACATATAAGACCATATCAATTATTATTAAATAAATAATCATAGATAAAATATAAAACTTAAAAAAAAATTAATTTAATATAGAATTTTTTAAAATAATCATAAATATTATGAATATTTCATATTAAAATACAAAGAACCATATTATACACAATAATATAATATAATTAAAATAAAAATAATATTTATTATAATAATATAGAATTTAGAATTCAAGATGAAGAATTTCATTATAATTTAATGAGCAATTTAAATATACATGGTGCAATTGTATTTTATTATTGATATTATTTTTTATTAATTTGTAATTACTTTTTCAATACTAATCTTTACAAATAATTTTAAAATATTATTAACTATAATGGAATGAAATTAAAAAAATATATAAAACAAGACAATGAGTTATTATCTTAGCAGCTATACTATTCGAAACATCAAAAGACGTATATTTGATTTTTGTAGTTTAATAATATTAAACCTTAGTCTTATGTTTATTATAACAGGATTTGTAACAGCAATTATAATCTGATAATTATAACAGCAATTGTAACTGAATTGCAAAAACATAATATTAAAATAAATAAAATATAAATAAAACAAAATAGGTTCTTTGTTATCAATTTTAACCTGTGAGGTCCAATAATTAAGAACCTATCAAATATCAACCGCGCGAGTTTATCAGAATTGTTAATCTCGCGTAGGTGTTTTTAGGGCATTCCCCTAACTCAAAGGGGGCCGGGAGGAAAAATAGATCCTTATACGCGGTCAGGGTGCACTGTTACCCCGCTTGTACAAATTTACTAAACTATCAATTTGAACAAATCACTGTTGTTTTGATGAAAATAATATATATAATATGTATATGATAAATATTGTACCGTGTAAAAATCTTGCTTTAAAAAAAAAAGAACTCTTGTTTTAAATGAATTGAAAAAAATTAGTAATTTTTGGAATTTATTACTTAATTAAATTGATCTTATAAAGAAAGTGTTAAGAAAAAAAATATTAGCATAATTTTTAGGCCTTCAATTGTTTCTAAATTCAAAATTTTTTTGTTACTCTAAATTCATTTTAAAAGTAAAAATTTAAAATTTGTTGATTTATAGAGAAATTTTTTAAATTATATACCTATGTAAAGTATGTTGAATAAATTCTAAACAAAAATTTTTTGGTCAAAAGATTTTCTTTTTCACCTTTTATATTTTACCTTTTATTAAAGTGAAAATCGCTTTGAAAAGGTTATTATAATTATATAATATATATAATAAATATTCATAAATATAATTTACAAATTTAGATATTAAAATATTATAAAATAAAAAAAAAAACCAAAAAGAAAATAAATTCAAAATTTAAGTATTAGAAAATTCAATTTTAGATTTTTGTAGAGAAAAAAAAATCAAAACCGATTTAAAATTTTATTAAAAACATTATAGCTTTTAAGTGATTCATATAACAAATGTAATAAAATCTTATAATATTAGTTATTATAAATTAACAAAAAAAAGTAATTTTAAAAATAATAAAAATCGATTCAACATTAAAGAAAAATAAAGGTAGTTTCAATTAAAATCATAGGCAAGTAATTTGCAGTAAAGGAACCGATTACATACAATATTTCTGTCGTCTTTTCGAAACCATGAAACAAGAAAGTTCTGACAAGACAGACGCGTATATTAATTTTAAAATTTATTTAGATAACAATATTTGAGAAATTGCAATACGGTAAATTCAATCCCTTCTGAGATATGGCCAAATTTTTTTGAAGTTGTGTACTTTAACGATACATTTGAAGTAAATACTTTATTTATAATAATTTAAAATATTTATTTTTAATTTTTGTCATGTATATGTTAAATTTGAAATTGAAAAATACAATTATATACTGTAAAATATATATAAATGAAAATAATGTTGCATAATATATTTTTAAATATATTAGAAAATTATTTTGAATTTAAAAATTCTTCAATTACTTTTGAAATAATTGAAATTTCTGGTTCATCAACGATTTCTTCCCAACTAGTCTTTCCAAATTTATTTAATTCTTTATATACTTTTTTCATAAGTTCTTTAAATCGTTCTGCATTCATTTCTTTTAAAATTTGTTGAATTTCCTTGACTTTTGCATCAGAGTTTTCATTGTTCTCACAATGTGCTAAAATATTAAAAATTTTTACAATATTAGCCATACAACGTATTTAAAAAAATATTGAATTTCTTACCTTTATAATAAAGTGTTAAAATATTTGTTAAATGAGAAATTTCACCTATAAGTATATAAAAATGTTTATGCAAATCAATTGATTATTAATTCTTCATTTTTGTATAATTATTGTATAAAATCTAATTTTCTTATTAATTAATGACTTGTTGAATTTTAATGAAATATAATGACACGCATATTAATAAATGTCATTGGTTCCATCGCATACGTACAATGTATTTATACAATTTTTTTTACAGTATTGCATATTTTTATTAATTCAGACATTAAATCAGACATTCCAATTATATTTAACCTAAAATGCATATTATTATAATTTTTAATATTAATTTTGATTAAATTTTTAATGATTTTTAAAAGTTTATAGTTATAGAGAGACCTTTTATATATATACAAATGCGCATGCAAAAAATATTTACATGCGTGAATCTGTATGTAGAACGTCTTATAAGATACGAAGCGCTACTCCATCTCAAATGGAAATATAGGTATAGGGCTCTGGTATTCTTGCCAGAAGCAAACTCGACCGATTTGGTCAGGGCAACTGGGTTATGCTGTACTGGCCGCCAGGACACCTTGAATTAGGAGCAAATGAGCAAGCAGATATGCTGGGGAAGCATAGGATCACTTCGTTTTGTTGGGCCGGAGTCCTTTTGCGGACCAAGCAAAATCCAAAAGGTGCTAAGAAGCGCAGTTAAAGAGAAAACCTGGAGCTATGGAGCTATCTGGGCCCTCGGTAAACAAAAAGGCATTTGGGCAGTTACAATTGGCAGCACATTTAAGCGATCATAAGGATATTGAAGAATCATTTGAAAATTCTAATATGTTTTTTGACGCGAAACTGTAGGCTTAAGGAACACGTATGCAAACTGAAGGCTTGGTGGTATTTCTAACGCTATTTCTAATGAGAATTTCTTTAAAAATGTAGTAAAATCTATTGATTAATAATGTCGTAATTAATTTTAGCTATTTAAAAGTGTCCTGGGTCTATTTTTACTGTATAATTTACCAACTTCATTTTTCAAATTTAATAGGAGCATAACTTTCTTAAATTTTTTTGTGTAGTTAATTTATTTCTTTATTTATTATATACTGTATACCTATTATTGTATTTATTTTGTTATTATTTTATATTCTTGAATCATTTTCAATTGCAATTAAATTTTTATTAAAAAATCTATCTCTATATAAAATTATCAGTATTAATTAAAAACAAAGAAACATCGAACTAAAATTGCACAATTATCGTTGAAACACATAAGCGCAGTTTCATTTAATTATTTTTCCTCGTATATCTGAATCATTTTTAAATTAACGTTCAAATACATACATATATGTTCATATAAAAGTATATATACGTACATATACATATTTAATATTTATATTAAGGAAAGAATTTAATTAATATTTGTCAAATATTTCATATCTAATCAATAAATAATTCCTATATACGTGTGTATGTATAAATAAGTTTGTTTATAATAATATGTACTCTCTTATAATTAAAATTCAATTTAACCCTTTAATTTATTGATACACAGATATATATTAATAACAACACACGATCTACTATCATTTTCAAAAGGTTCAATTCCAATATGGTTTTCATATAACATTGCAAATTAACAATAGTATAACACTTATTTTTTTTATAAAATATAAAAAAACACTATATACATACTGGAAAATACCATAATTCGCTTCTTTCTACATCAAAATTCAACGATTAACTAAAATAGAGAAACAATAATAAGAAATGTTTCACATATGAGCTACTTTGATATTCACCTATCTTTGATATTTTATTAGTCAGCTTGATAAAATTCCTTTTTTTTTTAATTTTTCTTTATTTCTAAAATTTTTTTTATTATTGCTACTTATATTTTAATTTGCATATCAATTGATTTTGTTCAAGATAAAAAGCTTGCAAAAAATTGATTACGGTTTAGATATGCGGCTCTTCACAATTAATATGTAAAATAATGTACAATATGTGTACACATAATATGTGTGTATGTTATAAAAATAACGTCATAGTTCATACAGAATGCAATGTTCTCATTGTACACATATGTGTATACATATTTGGAATATTTTATAAAATACTTATGTAATTAATTTGATGATGTAATTATTAGAAGAAGTTCACTAAAACCTGATCTTATAAAGCTTTTAATATTTTAACAATTAAAAAACTACATTTCATACACACATATATTATATAGAATGTTCCTATCTATATGTTCTTTTTTATTTAAATCAATGCTATATTAGTATATTGTATATATGTACATATGTATGTAATGTAAACAACAGTACAAATATGTAAAAATTTTTTATTATTAAATATGATTTTTATATAGCATTCCATTTTTAAATCAACACAAAAAGAATGTAGAAGACGATCAGTTTTTTTGTTAACTCTAAATAATAATATCATTATTATCTAAAATACTACGTGCTTTTTTTGTCGTTATTATTATTTTAACACCCACGCTATATAGAATTCTATTTTTAATATTAAATTTAAATTGGACACTGATTATACTCTTATAAATTTTATTGACTTATGTTTGCTAAAAAATTTACAATGTAATTATTCTGCGATAAAAATAACATACATACTACTACAATTTCGTACCCTTAACTAACGGAACGGACATAATTTTACTACATGATTATAATTAGTAAATGCTTCACAAAATTTTCAAAATAAAAAAACGTTTTGATTTAATGGTAAAAAAAATCTTAATTACTAAAAAAAGAAAATAATACTTCTTATATTGTTACCAAATTATGTAATAACTGAAATAAATTAAATGATTACATTTTACTACATTTTTCATTTAAAAATTACACTTTGTAAACACTGGTTTGCAGCAGCTACTAAAGAGTTAAAGAAGTTAACTACATACAAATTTTGACAACTGCCGGCTTTTGTTTACAATTTTACAACAATATTATCAATTAAATACATTGTGGAGTGAATTATTAAAATAAAAATAAACAAATTTTGTATTTAACTTTTTATAAATTTTACATAAGTGTATCAATTTTTTTTTTATAAAATGGACAATCCATTAAAACCCAAATCTGTTCCCTTATCTGCGGAAACTGTGCTATGGTTTGAATTTTTATTGAATCCAAATTTGTTGAATTCGCATTTGAAAAAATTAAATCCAGGTGAAATAGAAAATTAAAATATTATTTAAACATTTTTCCTTTAATCTTATTTCAAATAATTTATTTTAAAAGATCCTTCTCCAATTGAATTGATTTCTCAATTTATTCAAATGGCGCCTGAAAATCAAATGATACCTCAATACGATTTAACAGGGGCAACAAATCCTGAAACTGAAGGTAATATACCTATACAAAATCCACCAACACCTACCCCAGAAGGACTTAAAATGCCAAGAAAATCAATTGCTTTGAAAATATTAACATTAAAAATTGCAACTCATATTAAATGGAATTTGGGTAGGTAACAATCAAGCTTGGCATATGTATAATTTTATTCTAATATGGCTTATTTACATACATTTCAGATATAATTGAGAAAAATTTACCCGTACAAAAGCAGATTCATTTATTAAAAGATCTATGTACTTTATCATTTGGAAAAACCATAAATATTCCAATCTCAGAAGATTTTGCAGAAAAAACTTGTAAGTTTGCACAAAACTTCTGCTTCTTTATATAAAAATTGATTTTTATTGTTTTCAGCTGCAGAAGGTTCTGAAAATGCCGCCAAATTTGCACTTACTCTTTATCATCGCTGGGTATTACGCCTTCAAATTTTAAAAGACATGGCATTAAAAGCTTGTAGACCCCCTGCACCAAGTTTGTAAGTATATAATAATTTAAGAATAACTAATTTTAATTGCAAAATTTTTCACAGACCAGTTCCAGCAGAACCCGTGCATCCATTTGCCCCAGAAATACCACCGCAGCCGAGTATTGATTATTTGAAAAATGTTGTTGCTTCAAATGAACAGTTCCACATACTAACTTATGAGACATTTATACCCGTTCTAGCAAACACTGAAAAAATTGTACAAAATTACGACGCTATGAAGGTTATATCAAATAGTGAGATAAGAGCTCAAATTTATTACGATTTAGTAGGTTACTATTTGTTTGCTAAAGATTATAAAGCGGCGCATGATGCCGTTATTGAATGTCGGCGTTATTTGCTTGAACTAAAATTGGAATATAAAATAAGTGGTGATGAAAATAATTTTCATTATTGTCATATTGAAGATGATGAATTGGAGGGGGTGTTGCTAGCATGTGGTGTAAGTGAAACTCCTGTTAAATTGACTGAAAAACTCAATAGGTCTTTGCTTAATCAATACGAAGGTATAACAGATTTATTAAAAATGGACAATCATCAGCGTGAGATTCCTTTGAGTACTAGAAGAATTATTGAGTTGGATATTGAAGGAGCAATAAGCCGTGGTACACTAAAAGAATCTAAAGATTTTGAAATGGAGATAGCAGCGTTAAATGTTATAAGAAGTATATTTGAAGATGGAAATATTTTTTCGAACATTGATTTCTTTGAAAAATACAAAAACTATGACTGCTTTTCTATGATAATTAATGGTATTCAAGATATATTACTACACTGCAATATAAATGAAAAGAACAAAATAAAAGATTTTTTAATTGATTGTATTTTAAAATCAAACAATGTAAGCGGAAAAAAATTTATAGAACAACTTCGTACATTTAATGAGCTATTTAGTCAAAGTGAACTGGATAATTTGACCAAAGAAATTACAGAGGAAGAAATTTTTGTACCTCAGTTAGCATGTCAGGATGATTGGAAAACTTCATCGAAGAGTAAGTATTTACTTTTTACTTAAATATTTGGCTTTAATACTTATTGACTTTCAAGTACCGCGAATTGAGATTGGTAACATTGAAAGACAATTAATTTCCTGCTCAGGAGCTAATGCTGTAAGAAAACTTTTGGTAAAGTTAGCATCAACAAATCCAACAAGGCCTCTATGGACAGTAAATCCTAGTTGGCAAATTCCACAACCCATAAATCAGATTCTAAGTTCACTACAACGTGGATTTTTACAAGACTTTTCTTATGTTTTGATGGGAAAAGCTAGAGAGATGGCTGTTAAAAGTGTAAATTTTTTTTTTTGATATTTTTTTTTTATTTTGTTTTATATATCGTAGGACTATTATGGAGCAATATCAATGTTAACTGTATTAAAACAAGAGACTCAACGACCAGACCTAGTGAACACAGCAGCCATAACAAAATTAGGCAAATTGGTTACATGGGAAATTCTCTTAGTACAAATAACACAAGCATTAGAAAAGTGGAACAAAAAATCCGTAGACCAAATTCTCATTAATAAATGTAAACAATGTCTCAATACATTACAAGGCAATGAAAACATAATTCCAAGAATAGAGGTAAAGTATTTCCGCTTTTATGTTTATTATTAAAATAATCTATAATATTGCCATTCGATATTATGAAAAATGTTTTATAGATAATCGAGCATTGCACAATTCTACTATTAAATTGTAATGAATGGAACGCTATAATGTTCTTAGAAAAAAAACTACCTTGTGTAGAATTACATGTTGCATTTGCATCTACATTTTTAGAATTGGAAAAATTGAAAGGTAGTAAAAAAATATGTCGAGATGCTTGGGACATAGTTTTAAATATATTTTCTTCCGGATCGAATAAGCGAGGAAACAATATTTCTGCTCCAAATACTGGTGGCAATAACAATTCTAATCCTCAAAGTGGAAATAACAGTGCTCGTAACTCTCCAGGCCTGCAAATATCAACAAGTTTATATCCATTCTTAAAGAAGATAAGAGATCAGTTAGTATTTTCTTTAGCTATTTCGTTATTGTCTAAAATTCATAACATTTTGAAAGATGATTCAAATTTTGATATTAATGGCGAATACATGTTTTTATGGCCCACAAATATTATAAAGTAAAAAATATTAAGAATTAAATTATTCACCTTTAAAAACATAATTTTCTTTTAGTCCTATGGGATATAACGTCAGATCAGTTTCAGAAACATTAAATTGGTTATTAAAAGAAGCTTTGAAATATTATCCCCAAAACACAGGATGGTTAAAATTAAGGGGGGATTTAGAATTATGTAAATTAGATAGAAATAGTAAATTTCATTTACTTTCAAATTTTTTTTAGCTATCGGAAACAATGAAGCAGCTATGAGATGTTATATTAATGCCATAATTACAGCTTCGGAATATTGTAGCTTACCATTGCAGAGATCGGTAATTGATGATTACATTGTAAGGAAAATGATAAAATGTTGCACGAATTTGGGATGCTATATGCAAGCTGCTGTTTTATGTCAAGTAAAAAATCTTAAGCTTGAAATAAAAATTCTTCATTAACGATGGAAATTTAGTTTTTAGATGAAATTGATTATGGCTTAGCTTTTAAAAATATATCTGAAAAAACCTCAAACTCTGATTCTATGGATGCTTATTATAGTTGTATTTGGGACTCAACACTTTTGGAATTCATAATAAATCATCATTATAAAAAAGGAGAACATAATAAGAAACTAGAAGCTGTAATAAAAATTTATGCTAAACACGATCTATCATTATATATATATATGTATACGTATTTTCAGATTGCCGTAATTAGCCAATTAGAGCTAAATGCAAATAACAATGAAGAAATAAAACGAGAAGCAGCAACAGTTAGAAAAACTAGATTTTTGAGGGCGTTGGCAAAGCAATATCTTTATTAAAATACATATTAAGGGCAAATAAAATTTTCTTTGATTTTTTCATTATTTTGGTTTTCTTCCTCGGTTTGCAGAACCACTTTTGAGCTTTTTGTTAACATTTTTTTTGGAATCCTCTGCTTTTCGTTTTGGAGAAGGTGCAGAAGACGGTAATACCTAAAATATTCTTTATAATAACATGTAACATTGTTTTTACGATTGCTTACTTTAAAAAAACTATCAAGTCGTCCTTGCGTTGAAGAATTTTTTGATTTTAATAATTTTCTTGCCCCGTTTCGAACTCGTTCTTCATTAAATTGGCGGTCACCGCATAAAAATTTAACTAAGCCTTCTTCATCAGGATCTGTCCATTTTAACTAAAATTAAAAAATATTTATCAAAAAAAAAGAACAAGTTGTATCTTTTGATAAAATAACCTCTATTTCTTCCGCATTTTTTACTTCTGGATTAATAAATAAATCTCTTGCAACTTGATAATTCCAATCATCTGGAATTGTATATTTTTTTGTATCAATATTTTCCACTATTGTTTCTATATTTTTGTATTGCGTTATTAATTCAATAGCCCTCTTTGGACCAATTCCTTTTATGCTATCGCAATAATCGCAACCCAACAATATGCATAGATCTATAAACTAGAAACAAGAACATACATTAATTTGCGTTGAGTGAAACAAAAATTTTTGTACCTCTTCTTTCGATAACTCGAATCCTTTTAAGATTTTCTCATAATTATATTCTTTAACTGGCATTTTTCTTGCTTCACTAAATGTCAAATGCCGAAGCATTAAGGAAGAGCCAAATGTTAAAGCATCCATATCTTCCGTAGCTGTTGCATAGACTTTTCCAGCTTTTACCATTGCTGCACATTGTGCTTCAGCTTCACATGGTGCATCAACATATGGAACTCCCATTAGTTTTAGCAGTTCTTTAGCTTCATTTGAATGTTCTTTTGTTACACGCACAAGACGTCTATTGAATTTCTCCATTTCAGCTTCATCTCCCGCTTCTGTAGCTTTCTCTAATGCTTTTTTAGCTTCTTCACGTCTTTCGGCACGTTTTGCCAATTCACCTGATTTCAAATCTGGTGGTTTTCCATCAAATACATAAACAGGTTTAATACCATTTTCAAGTAAACGAATAGTTCTATAAAATACGCCCATTAAATGAGAAGTTGGCTCACCATCAACTGTTGTTAACTGAGCCCCTAAATTTAATAAAAAAATATATGAAAGCAGGGAATAAGGAATACTTAAGCTGCGTGAACCTTCGCTCCGCACTGCAATCAGGAACTGATACAAGCACATTGAAGCATCAACTGCAACTTTACGCCCTAAGGTATATTTTAAATAGTTATGGTAAGGTATATTTTTAATATTTATTTTCGACAGTTTTACAAAAAAATTTTTTACCGAAAAATGTTTTAATATCAGCTTCTTTTATTGCGAAAGGAGCAACATCGGCAATTAACTTGGATAAACCTAGAATTCCCATTGATTATATGTATAAGTTGAAAAAAATAACGAAATTTATATTTTCTAAATTGATTTTATTATTTCGCCACCCTAATTTTGAAAAATTGAATGAGTTATGGGCTTTATGGAATACAAACACAAAACATAAAAAAATTTTTCAAACATACTGTTCAGCCCGCCTAATATATTGACGTTTATATTTTTGTTTACATTTTTGTTTACTTATGATTTATTACAATTTAATAACATATATTGCAGTTTCTTATACTTTCAAAACAGTACTGCCGTCGCAGTTTGCTAATAGAACATTTAGTTAGTGAGAGGATTATTAAAGAAAATAATTGCATTTTGCACTTAAAATCTTAAATATTTTGCTGAAACATTATTTAAAAATTAATTTGCAGTATTTTCTAGCATTCTGTTTGCTGTTTAATGTTAACAAAACATAATTATTATTTTAGAAATAATATTTTGATCAATTTTAATTAATAAAAATTTTATATAAAACTTTATGTTTCTTAAAAATATCTTAAATTTTAAGCTCAATCATTTTGTTTGGAATAGCTTTTCACACGTTCGTATAGTATAGAATTTTTAAAATGACATTCCTCATGAAATAATTCATATATTACTGAAAAAAAAATATTACATCGATTTATTGAAATTAAAGCCAAAATAGGATATATGTATATCTGTTGCATTACAAATATGATTGTTTTTCTGGTACCGAAGACGAAGTTTATTATTTGATGTAGAAACACATATTACTTAATACTTTCACTTTTAGAATAAAAGTTCACTACCCAAGTATATTTTTTGTTTTTATATCTACTCTATACTGCCACGTTGGCAGTTTAAGTTGCTTGGAGATTCTACTTTATGCGTCACTTTTGACATATTCGTTCTGGATAAATTAAATTTTGAAAGATCTTCATCGGTCGCCATTGAAATAAAAAGCGTGGAAAATTTAAGCGTTTTTAATTTAAAAATAAGGCGAAAGATATTATTTCTTTTTTATTTATTTTGAAGAAAATGAGTGATTATTCTTCTGTTGCTCCACCTCAATCGCAGTTAAATCAATCTCAAGCTTTCGCAGCAGCTCTCCAAAGAGCTAAAGCCGTAAGTAAAATGGCATTAATTTTCGCAAAGAAAAAAAAATGTCTGCTCTAAAAGTGTACATATATATATAGAGTTATATATACTTTTATAAAAAAAATCGATACCGCAAAATTATTTAAGTAGTATGCTATTAAAATGCAAATGCAAAAAAATAAAAAAAATCTACTTTAATTTTGTGCCTAAAGTATATTGGTTCTATTAAAGCAATATTAATTAATGCTTTTACGAATGACGTATTAAACTTTGCTGAGGCGGGGCTAAAATTCAACCCCCAGTGATATGAAATAAAAATAGTTTTCTTTTTTTATAAGTATAAAAATATAATTTTATAGTAAATTTGGACTTTTTTTTAAGATCGCAGCAAAAATTCAACCGGGCAGTCAACAACAACAAAGTACTGGAGGAATAAAAAGAAGTTTTGACGAGGACGGAGGACCAGATGCTAAAAAGTTTAACAATCAATCAGAAAATCATCATCCTTCGGGTGGGATGAACAATAACGGTCCTCAGAATATGTCACAGGCTATAGCACAGGCAGCTGCAGGTGAGTTTTGGTTATTCTTGAAATATTTGTGAAGCGTTTCAAGTTATTAACTCTTCTAGTTGCAGCACGTTTAGCAGCTACAGCTGGAAATACTATTGAAGAACAAATTCGTTTTCCTGATAATATATTAAGTTTTATGACTGGTCGCAATGGTAATGATAATTTGTCACACATTCAAGTTGAATCGGGCTGCAAAATTCAAATGTCAAATGAGTCTGGTATGTACTTTGAATGTTTTTTTTGTTATTATTAAATTTTATTATATTTAAAACATAAAAATTCTATTTTTCTTTTCAAATTTTATATTTGTTTTATTGAACATACATATTTGAATTTTTGATCAAATCATTTTGAAATTAAAATAAATAAAATATAAAATGTATATATAAACGCGTTTGGTAATTAAAAAATATAAAAACAAATAAAGATTGTATATGTACATTAAGAGGGGGACGGGATTCAGTCACTAAGGCCAAGGAAATGATACAACAATTGGCCACTCAGAATGGGAATGGTATGATTGAAATAGTTACTTCGATAACTATACCTCCTCCTGGGGCAAATGGATATCCTCCATACCAAGAAATAATGGTTCCTGGACCAAAGGTGGGTCTAGTGATTGGTAAAGGTGGCGAAACCATTAAACAACTTCAAGAGAAAACTGGTGCAAAAATGGTCATTATTCAAGATGGACCCAACCAAGAAGCAATTGTAATAAACTAAATACTACTTTCTAATTCAGAATTTGAACTTAATTAGAAAAACAAAAATATTTTTTTATATTCCTTTTTTTTTTGTCGAAAAATATTTGTTTTGCATTTGAATGTTAAACACAATTAACACAACATATTTAGGAAAAACCGTTACGAATATCCGGCGACCCACAAAAAATTGAACATGCAAAAAGTTTGGTATTTGATTTAATCGTTGAAAAGGAACCGCAATTTAGAACTGGTTTCAGTGCCGGAGGTGAGCAAGCTGAGGTTTTTGTACCTAAAATAGCGGTAGGAGTTGTTATTGGTAAAGGTGGCGATATGATTAAAAAAATTCAAGGAGAAACTGGATGTAAATTACAATTCATACAAGGCAAAAATGATGCTCCTGGTGATCGAAGATGTATTATACAAGGAACAAGGCAGCAAGTTGATGATGCCAAAAGAATGATTGAAGATCTAATTGAAAGTGTTATGGTAATGATTATCATTACAAAATTCTTTTAATCACTTATATGAAATTTTAACGTTTCATATTACAGAAAAGTAATCAAATGTCAGGTGGGCAAATGAATCGGAATACTAATCAAGATAACGGAAATTCGGCCTACGGTTATGGCTATGGAGTGAATCATACTCAACAACCTCAAAGAGAAGAAGTAACATTTTCTGTTCCAGCTTCAAAGTGTGGAGTATGTTATTTTTTCTTATGTAAATTCATTTGTTTTCTCATAATTATCTTAATTTTTAGATCGTTATTGGACGTGGTGGTGAAACAATAAAATTGATTAACCAACAATCTGGGGCTTATTGTGAAATGGATCGAGCGGCAGTAAACCCTCCATCAGAGAAAATGTTTAAATGCAAAGGAACTGCAGAACAAATTGAGACCGCAAGGCAAATGATTTCAGAAAAAATTAATGTGGATATTGTAATATTATCAAGAAAACCAATCGGAAACACGATTCCAAATCATGCGGGAAACGCTGCTGCTGGCTATGGCAACATGCAAGCAGATACTACAGCAGCTGCATACCAACAACAGTGGGGCTATCAGCAAGGCTGGGATGCAACACAGCAAGCTGCTATGCAAATGACAACCGCTGCGGCAGCGGGAGGCGCTCCAGACTACTCACAGCAATGGATTGAATATTACAAGTAGGAATTACGAAATATATTTTTTAGAAAAAAATTAGCAATCTTTGCAATCAAATTTTTCGTATCTTTCGATTTTTCTTTTTTTTTTTTGTTCCCTTAATTTTTCGTAGATCAATGGGAATGACTAGGGAAGCAGAAATGATCGAACAGCAATTAAAAGCTAAACAAGCGGCTGGTCAAAATGGTGCAGTCAGTGCTGCTGTTGCGGGAATGGCTGCGGCTCAAATGATGCAACCTACACCAGCTGCTCCAGCAGCGCCTGCTGCGGCAACAGCAGCTGGTGTCCAAGATTATAGTCAACAATGGATAGAATATTATAGAAGGATCGGTAAAATAGAAGAAGCTGAACAAATAGAGAAACAAGTGGCTGCTGCAAAAGTACGATTTTATTTTTATTTTTACAATTTCTAAAAAGTACGATATTTTTTTTATTTCATTTATGTTACATGCTTTGAAAATTGTAGGTTGCCTCTGGTACAAATGCAAATCCATCTGGTAACCCAAGCAGTAGTAACAATCCAGCAGGTGGTGTGCCGGGTAGCGCTGCCGGTCCAGGTAACCCTAACGGTCCTGGTAATCCTAATGCTCCTGGTGGACCAGCACCCGGAGCTGGTCCAGCAGGATACCCTCAGAGTATGGCACAATATGCACAGTATTCACAATATGCACAATATGCTGCAGCTGCAGCAGCTGCTGCAGGTCAGGGTTATCCAGGTTATCAAGGTGGTTACCCCGGCGGTGGTTATCCTGCTGGACCACAACCTCCTCAACCAAATCAGCAAACCAATCAGAATGACAAAAATTAAATGTAAGTAGATGACACTTTGAAAAATTATTTTGTTTTAAAACAAAGTTTTTTAAAAATCAAAAATGTATTCCTTTTTAATTTATTACCTTTTTTTTTTTTTAAATAATTTTTTGTAATATTTTTATATTACAAAAAAATTTTAACTTATTTTTTTTATATTTTCGCATTTGACATTTGTATATTCCTTAAACTTTTAATTTAAAAATATCTTTCTAACTTTTTTGTAAAAAATTTTTAGAATTTTTTTTTCTGCTTTTAATTTAATAATAAATTTTTATTATATAATATTCCATCCAATATAAATGATTCTTTCCAGATAGTATGATGTGTCCGTTTAAAAGTGATTGAATAATTTAAAATATTTTAAAATAATATATGAAAATCATATAGTCTTCGTTTATTATTTGAAAATATTTCTTTTTTGGTACGCAAATTGAGGAAAACACATTTTTGTGTTTTAGTTTATAGTTATTTTTTAAATAAATACATTTTAGAATTTAGCAAAATATATTTGTTTCAAATATATATAAAAAAAAAAAAGAAAAAGAAAAAAAAATTAAATACAAAATATTAAGTAATAATAAAAACTTAGCAATTACAAATATAATTTATGCTAAAAAAAATTCAATATAAAATATGTGTATGAAATTTTAATCAATAGGAAATTAAATATAGGTGTACGTACTATTTAAAAATAAAATTCGATTAATTTTATGGAAAGTCATAGTAGAAAGAACAGCAGCCAAAACGTATGAAAAATGAAATTATAGCGTTATCAGATGGCGATGGATGAAGGAGAGGAAGAAATAAATGGCATTTTACAATAATGTGGTAAAATGGTAACAAAAAAAAAAACAAATAAAATTTTACTATTATATAATTGTTATTAATATTAAAGTCTTCGAAATCCAAAATAATATTTTGTAATTCTTGATTTAAAGTTAATGTATAACTGTTGTAAGAAATTAATTATTTTTTTTTTTATAAAACCCGGAAAAAATTATTGTTTTAAAAAATATATGCTTAATATTTAATTAAAAAACAATGAAACTTTAAATAAAATATAGATATTGAGTTAAATGTTTTTTTAAATGATGTAAAATAATTAATAAAAATATTAAAAAGTATTCGAATTCTAGTTTTTCAATATTAATTTTCGAATTATAAATTAAAAAAAATTTTGTAATAAATAGTAATTGCTGCATTTTGCTGATAATTGAATTTTTTAAAGTCTTACAATACGACACATACTTTAAATCAAAATAAAAGAAAACATTAACAAATTTTTATGAAAATAATTAAATAAATATATTTAAGGGAAACATATTGAAAAATTTTATCTTTAATTTTTTTTATACGTTATAATTTCATTGTAAATTAGTTTTTTTTTTTTTTGTAAAAGTTTAAGATATTGATCAATAATAACAAATTATAAAAATCTTTATAATAAATATTTATGTAAAACTACATTCTTCCTCCAATTCTATTTAGAAACATATAATATCAAATCAGCATTTATTATATTAATCATATAATTTTTGATTCAAGTATATTCCCTTCGCATTATCTAAACTTAAAATAAAATATACATTATTGTTTGTATATTTTACTTTGTAATTAAAAAGATTTTAAAATATTTTATAAAAGTTTTATAAATCTTACATTAAACTTTAAAGCTATTTAAATAGAGTGTTAATTACTTCCATCTTGTCTTTAACAGTACCACGCGAAATTAATATTGTATTATAAAGAAAATATTAATTGAAAATATTTATTGTATCAATTCTTAAACTTAATTCATATGAATAACAATAATATTAAAAAAAAAAAAAAACAAAATGCAAACTAATATTTTTATATCAAAACAATTGATTATTGTACAACTATCAATATATAATTACACTTTGCATTTATAAAAAATTAATATCTACTTAATATTTCGTTTTTATTCAATATTAAAATTCAAAATTCCGTTTAATGTTTTATAAACATAAAAGTATTAAAGTTTTTCTTTTTCTTATTAAATAAACAATATGAACGCTATAAATGATGATTGTAACAGAATCAACAAATCTTACGTTATTTTCAAAAACTAGAAAAAGATTTTCAAGTAAATAATTATTATTAGTAACAATCTTGAATTTGTCAAATTTCCAAAAATTTTAATTCAAAACAACAAGCGTAAAATTGTAGGGAATAACGCATAATATTTTTTGCAATTAATATATTTCTTTCATCATATTCAAAAGATTTCATTTAATCTTGGTTATTAGAGGTAATCATGAAATTAACTCAATTTTTATATTAATATTAATTAATATAAATTATTTTAGAATTAAAATTTGATATTATTTGTGCACCTACAGGTTAATTATTACGGTTGATTACAGAAATATATTGGAATTTAAGAAAATTATAAAAAATCATATATGGGGTTACAAAATTATCAAAATTTTTGTGAACAAAAAAAAAATTTTTTTTTTTATTTTTCAGATTTTTTTTGCAAACTTATAAAAAATTTTAAATAAAATTTTGAATTTTGGTAGTTTATAACAAAATCCTGCCATTGTGAATGAACAAATTTTTAAATATCGTTGAATTTGTAATAAAATTCTTTATTTTTAATAATCGATTCATATTTTGTTATCGATTTTCAAAACAAAAACAAAAAAAGGTTTATTAAGCGTTTGACACCACATACTTTAGAAAGTTTAATAAAATTTATAAAATAGTTAATTTAATTATAATTTAGTTCAAAAAATAAAAAAAGAGTCTCTGTTACAAAATTCCATGTAAGAACAGCTCGTATTAACGTCCATGGAAAAGAGTAGTGGTAATTTGGACTTCATATATAAGGATCTGGAAATGAAAGAATGAATTGCAGATTCACGCATTAGGAGGCGTTTTGCATTGAGTTTAATACACTCTTTAGATATATTCCATCATATAGTTTTTCATCGAATTTTTATTGCATCCAATTTATTGATTATTATATTCAATATAATTATTTTCGAGAACTTCAGGATCATTGGTCTTGGAGAATCTCTCTGCTTTACTCTTTACACATTGATTATAGATTTTATATATATCAATAGCTACGCAATCAATGAAATTCCCAATATCAGTAGTTATTCGAGATCTGGGTGTAAATAACATTTTTTTTCCTTGTATTCATTTTCTTATTTAATATATTTCAATATCAATATAAAAATGCAATTTAAATAGCATAATCAGGTGGAATTGATTTAATGTAATTTATATGATGTAAAATTAAAAACTAGGGGTATAAAATGGCAAATATATACAATTAATTTTGATATTCCCACTTATTTTCATATTATAAGGGGGTTAATTCCTTTCAAATACGAACGAACTGTAAAATTTCAAAAAAAAAAATAGTAAGAGATGGAGTTCACGATTATGAAAACTTAACAAAATGAAATATATTATTTTTTACATATTGATGTATAAACATATTAAACATGATTGATACAATTTATAATTATTTAACTTCTATAAAAAATTAAAATATTAAAATTTCAGGTATTTTAACTTTTTACAAACTTAATTAATTCATTTACTTATTTATCATTTTACATTTTATCATTTTGTCATTTTATTTTTCTTACATTTTGTATAACTATTATATTGAATATTTTGAAATTATATACAAATTCCATAATTTAAAAATTTGTATATTATTAAAAAATAACATTATATACGCAAAAAGTCCCTCTTATACACAAAAAAATATATAAACACTTTATAATTAATTTTATTATTTTAGATGAATTGACATGGTAAGATTGTTTTAAATAATCATTGAGAAAAATTTATATTATATTATAAATTAAATTTTGCAAATTTCATTTAAAATCTTAAAAGTTTATATTAAAAATAGAAAAAAAAGAAAAAAACAAAAATTAAATTTTAATTATATTGCTAACAAAAACTTACAAAATAAATTTATGTTTCCACCTCTTTTTTATATAAATTAATAATTTAAAATTTATAACCAGTATATGTGTATGTATATGTATATAATTATTATAAAATAAATATTTCTTGAATATATTGAAAAAATTAAAAATATAAAATTTTTCAAAAAATTGAATCAATTGAATTATAAACTTTATGTAATTTTTTCAGGATTAAAAAAAAATTAAAAAAAATATTCAAAAAAAAAAAATCAAAATATAATATTGATAGAATAATAAACAAATAAATAGAATACGTATAAGTATAAAAAAAAATTTTTTTTTGTTTTCGATCCTAGATCCGGCGGAGTGTATAAAAAATCCGAAAGATTCAAAATATGCTTTGTGTAATATTTGTACTCCTCCTAAATCCAATATATATGAGAACTCATTATTTCAATGCTACTACTACTACACTACTACTACTACTACAACTACAGCAGTATGTTGTTGCGTAAAATGTGTTATCTAAAATCATTTACAAAATAAATATAATTAAATATTAAAAAGTGGTATGTATAAATTTCAAAATCAGAAACAAAAAAGAAATAAAATATATTGAAAAATTTTTGAAATATAAAACAAAAAATTTTTTTAAAAAATATATACTATTCTTATTACTATATTTATATTGAAATTATATTAAATACAAATTATATAAAAACAAAAATTAATTCGGCTTTTACATGGCATCAATATACTTATGTATAATAAATAGTACAGGCTTACAAATTATACATTATTATTTAAAAAAAAAAATTTGTTTTAAATATCGATATACGTACTTGTAGTATACATTATGTAATAATTAAAATATATAAATTTTCATTTGTTATTGATCTATGTAATTGCCAAATAATAGAATTTATTTTATATATATTTTTATATTTTTATGTATATAAATTTATTCTTCACTATTATTAATAGTATTGAAATAAAATTTTTAATTCTGAATCAATTATGGTTAACGACGCTCTTAAATAATTTTTATAATTAATTTTCTTTAAATTTCTTTATTAAATATTTTAATTAAATTAATAATTTGATTACGTTCGAATATTTTTTTATGAATTCATGAACAAAACAATATTTTTGTTTAATTTTAAAGAAATAATGCAAATAGCATTGTTTTCAAGATCTAAATTGTTCATTTTCCTGTTGATTACATACCGTTATAATTATTTACATACATAACAGTTTATATTTAGTGAATTTAATTCACAATTGTTTAATATCTGGTTGTTAACCATAATAGTACGAATCTTTCAAATTATTTCAAAATTATTCAAAATAACAAAACTGATATAAAATTTTTTTAAAAATATATTTGTTTTTAAATGATCACAAAACAAAAAATGAAAGAAAGAAAAAAAAAAGACGAACTAAATTAAAATATACTTAAATATATTTTTTTTATTTTACATACGTCCGTAATTTTTACTATAAGAATTATTACATAACCACTTTTTTTAAAATTTTAAAACAAATCATATTATGCCTTTTCATTTTTTTTAATTTAGATTTTTCGGATAATCCTGTTGTTTACGAATAGATTGATTGGGTTTCTCATATTGTGAAAAAAACATGATGTGTTTGAATTTCATATTTAATTAAACATAATGTAAATATACGTTCAATATTATATAGTACATTTAAAAAAGTATATTTAGTATTTTAAGATTTACATTCTATATAATTATATTTTATATAACATCATATATAATACGTATAATTACACATTATCAAGCTCTGATATATATTTACATTTATTTAAAAATTTTTATATTTTTATAATATTTATATATTTTACAAAATTATATGTTATATTTAAATTCATAATCAATGGGAGGCATCTAACTTTAATGGAAATCAATTATTTATTGTGACTTGTTGAAAAATATTTCAATTATATCAAGCGTCTTAAGTTGAAAATCGAACTTGTCTTTCCTTTCTAAGTTATCTCTTTTAGTCACAATATGAAGATATGAATTGTTTTTTTTTTTGGGAAAAAAATATACAAATTTTTCATTAAGACTGGATTGGACTAAAATTTATTTTTCTAAAAACTACATTGCTTTTTTAATTTCTAAAATTTTTTAACGTACTTTTTTAAACTACTTTTGATTATCCATTATTGTGTTAAATATCCTTGTTTCACTGCACTTCAGTCCTTTCAATTCCATAGATAAAGATGGATTCCATAGTTCCATTAGATGCCCTCTCTGTCTTGTATTTTAATTATGTACCGTATCTCTTGTTTGAATTGATAACGATGATTTCA